CGGAAAATGAAATAAAGTCGATACATTGCTCATTTGAAAATAAATACAATATCCATTTCTGTCAAAATTAGATTTCCGCACGTTAATTCTGAAACCCCTCACTATCATTGCTTAGGTAAGTAGTACGAGACATTAAAGGGTATTATTTACTAATCTAATTGTAATTCAACTTGTTTTTTTTATCACCAGAAGCTTTGCTTATATACTTTTTTCGTAGTTAATTCACTTATCTGTTAGTTGCTAACTTTCTATCTTCCTTATTTTAGTCACTAACTTATTATCCAATTCTAATTATCGGTAGATCCGATTTTGAAATCCCCAATCGATGCGGTTTACCATACCCGTATCACAGACCAAAATTAAGGATACAAAAAAATAAGAAATGTAGAAAATTTATTAAATTTTCTTTTCGAACATAAACATTGTACGTAAATATTAAAGCAAGTGTATAGTTTGCATATTGTAGTGTGATACAACTTTTTATAGGTACGTACATACGTACGTACGTACGTATGTACGTACGTATAAGTAGAAAATTTATAACTAATCCATAGATAGTTATTGGATTTGAAGATATATATATTTGTGGGTTTAGTGTATTGTTTTATAAGGGAACTATTACTACCTTATTTTCGGAGAAATACGGTAATATTTATTTGTTTCTTTATTAGATTTGATTTATTATTACGTAGCGAAAGGGTTTTAGTATTGTTATTACGAGAAAACGATGTGTAATGTGTAATCAATTCGAGTCTTTACTAAGATAAGTAATATTATTGTGCAAATAATACTAACTTAAACTAACTCTGTACTATTGTCGTTATTTAGGTATATTACTACAAAAGACATTAGGGAAGTTATTTTCTAATCAAATGGGATTCGACGTTTTTTCAAAATGACGAGGAAAGTATTGTTTTTCTTGTTAAAAACTATCCCTGCTGGTTACTAATTCTTTTTATGGTTCTTAACTCTCCCTAATAAAGGGAAAAAAAATTTGATTTGCACAAATAACACGTGAGAGCCACGACGTTAGAGTTAAGAATAAAGCTTATTACGGTGTTCCATTTGTGCCAAAAGTGTAATTTTTTTAAAAAATTTGTTTTTAAAAGTGCTATTTGACGCCTTGGAAATTTGCCTGAAACCAACAAAGGAATTTTTCTATGTAGATCGCAAGGAAGGACATCACCTTTTACGTCTAATTAAGAAATTCTTGGCAAATTTTGCATATACACCCCTTCCTGTGTGCTGGTCAAAATCGCGACAAGCACAATCCCGGCAAGTCATAATCCTGACAGTCAAAAATTCGACAATTAAAAATCCCGATAGTCAGAATTTTCAATTAGAAAACCATGTATGTTTAAAGCGAAGTAGATTAATTAACTTTAGGATTAGATCACTTTAGATCAGGGTTTTTAATTGTCGGGACTGTTAATTGTCGGATTTTTGGCTGTTGGGATTTTTGCTGTCGGGATTATGGCTTGTCGGGATTTCGCTTGTAGGGATTTTGACCCAAACCCCCTTCCTTATCCAAACCCTCCCTAACCCTAACGCTGGTCAATTTCACAAATAAATAAATCCGTGTAAATTTACCCAGGCATCAAATTGATTTTCTCATTAATATATTCTGTCTAAAAAAATTCGCAAATCATGTGCTTTTATTGTAAGACCATTAAAAATGTTTCTCTAAAAAAATTTTTGTTGTTATTGCTAACAGATTAGGGTTAGAAAGCTATAGTTATACCAAAATTTTGCAAAAAAAAACTTTTTTTTTAGTACATAGAGGGTAGTTTCATGGCAAAATTTTGACTTTTGATTTCTTACATTTTTTTTACGTGATACTTTATCTCGAATATTTGATTGCCTAATGAAATATTTTAGGACAGGTATCTTAGATTCTATTGTGTTCTAATTTTGAGTGCCTTTAAATAAAGTCAGGCAGGCTAATGACATCCATTTAAGACCAACCTCAAAGCAGCAAAATTTCCGGGGATGTAATCGGCTTTTTTGCCGGCGATATTTCTTAATCAGCTCATATAAAAAATCAAGGGTACTACGGTAAAATTTCTTTATTAAGTTAATGTTATAATTTTATTACGATTGGATCAAGACTTGAGGCATGTATGATCGAGGCTTAGCTGGGTGGTTTTAACTCTCAGCAAGGGTGAATAACCCCAGCGAGGGATTGAACCCCATCGAAAGTAAATGAATAAATACGATGCTCAAACTAATAAAGAGAAGATATATCGTCCTGCTTGTTGTATATTGAATAAAATAATAATGTACTTTCCAACTAAACTAATCTCCTTAATAACTGACTCATTAAATCCGAGTGCCTAATACTGTAATAAATATTACACCGTGTAACTTGTACTATGCCCGAAGCTAATCTGGACACGTATGATATTGCACTCCCAATCTCGGGCATAACACCGAAATCTCCGAAATTTTACGATAGGCACTGTGCTCTGCTTCAAAGTCAGCTGATATCGGGTAATCTAAGCCGAATGATCGAAAAAAACTCGGTAGATTTGTAATACCATCAGTAAATACCTATCATGTTTATAATTGCCAATTTGAGATTTTGCTTATATTAATTTTAGCAAACAAAAAATTTTTTATTAAACCTTGTTACTATTTATAAAATTTCATATAAATAAACCAAATAACATAACCTTAATTTTGCATATAAAGTTCGATTATTGATTGTATGTTTAATTATGAAATGTGAAAATTGTCAAATTTATAAACTTTCAGAAGAATTTCCATTTGGGACAATTAGTTTAAAATGTGAGCATGTCACATCTTGGTGCTTAAAGGTATTACATCTCTAATAATATGTAAAAACATGCTATTTATATCACTTATTTTTACTTTTTTTTTTTTTTTTTTTTTTATTCAGTGTCTTGTAAAATACCTAAGAGAAACGCAGAGTAACTGTCCTATATGCGAAGCTGAATTAACTGAGCAAGAATTTAATGATTATTGTTTGCTTTGGGACAATGCAAGCTTTAAAATTGATTTCGAACGCTCTTCACAAACGCATGAACAAAATAATGCAAATTCCGAAATATTTTATGTTGTCCGATTAAATGGAGAAAAGATTGAATTAAAGCTTTCGGAAATTAGTACAGTCAGAGAATTAAAATGTAGATTGATGAATTATACACAGATAGATATTAATAGGCAAATGTTAATCTATAACAACGTGGAACTTCATGTGCGTAATTTATTTATTAATTCTTAAAAATCTTTATAATTTTATATTGATAATATTTTTCTATACAGGATAATAAGACTAATAGTACACTTGTAAGTTATGGAATCTGTGCAAATTGCCATATTCAACTTATCGTCATACTTTATTCTATCTCGAAAAATGATGCTATAAAAAATTTAGTATTCGATTTATACTGGGGTCATCCCACCTCAAGAGTAGACTTTCTCGATGGTACCTGTTTGATATATAAAGGTAATAAGTTATGGAAAACGTATGACTATGAACATAGGGAATATCCTGAAGTATCATATATCTCGCATTCCGGAGATTCCCTAGATTATAAAAATGGTTTGTTCTAATATTATACTATATTACGTATTACATTTTGACGTGTGTCTGATAAATTTAAATCTTCGTAGCCACAGGACATCATAAAATTACGGCGAAACTCAACCTACTTCCTCTTTCGGTTACGAAGCTTTATTTAGTATTAAGCTCATTTGGATCTCCGACAATTGGTCATTTTCAAAATCCAAGCTTTAAATTATATGATGAATCGAATCCGAAAAAACAGCTATGTAAATACAATATACATAGAGCTGACAAGTCACAAGCTGTTATAATGTGCCTTATTAATCGATCATATTATGGTAAGTTAATAGTGAAATTTTTGTTATAAGGTTTTATTTTTGTAATTTTCTTTTTTTGTGATTGTAGGCAAGTGGAATGTAATTGAAGTAGGTAGGTTATCACAAGGAAACGCAATGAACTATGCCCCAATAATGGAAACTATCAAAGATATTAATGGCATTTGAAGTTGAAAATGGGAATTTATTAGTTACCGTGGGTTTTATGTATAAGAGAGTACAATTCAGCGCCCTGATCTCGTCTATAAACAAATATATAGCTTAAATAATAAAGCTCAAAATCAATAACGATAACGAACGAGAATTTAGAATGTATTCTCATACATGCTACTATACTATGTCAAATGCCGGACACCGTACTACCACATTCCTAACTTTGGTAAATAATACCTTAATATGTTAATTATAATTTGGTTGTAGTAATCTTTCCAAACGTGCTTAGACCCAGTCTATACTTATCAATATAGATTGATTAGATTAATTATTATATTATATAGAAACCTGGATATCTTAATATGCAGTTAACTACACAGTAATTATATAGCAACTATATATAGTTACTACATAATAATAGGGATGTTGAGATGCTTAAATAAACTCTTGCTCAAGCAGATTTAGAGCACAAGTTTTTATGACTTGTTTATATGATTTTTAAACGCTGCTTTGAAGTATAAGCAAAGTTTTTTTAAATATGCCTTTTAATTAGATTTTTAATTTAGTTTTTAATTATATATATATAAAGTATTAATTTAGACAAAAAATTATTATTTTATTTTTTATTTAGTTAAAAACTATTATAAATAAATAAATAAATTATTATATTGTAGAATAATTTTTTTATGCCTACAATTTAATATTTGATAAAATTACTTATTATCCAAGTAATTTTCACCAATTTTTTAAGTTTTGATATTGTTTGAGTCAGTAAATTACGTAAATTTGATACGGGTTACAAGGTTTTGGTGATTACAGGTGTTATTCTACCCAAACCTGTTCTTTAAATTGAAGAAAAGGTATATTCAACGTAATCTTTTATTTAGGCAATAAATGGATTTACTCATGTTTCTGGAGAACTCTTTGCACACTTAAGTTTCTTTATATCATTTATTATTATTTGAATTCATACGAAGTTTGAATCAATATTTTTTAAAGTTAGTCATTTTTGATTGCGGAAGATCAAAAGACCTTTCAAGGATATGTGTCTAAAGATGCATGTCAATAACTTTTCTGTGATGATTTTTTTAAAATTTTCTAAAATTTCTAACATTGGTTCAGATTCTTTAGCATCTGCCTCATCCACTTCAGCTATATATTGGTTCAACTTCTATAACAAGAGAATACTTCAAATTTTGATGAATTTAAATTATTGAATTTTAATCTTCTAATAAATTAATATCACGGCTGAAGTTGGAAACGGCTGAAGCTAGAGATTTCAAATACTTTAAAATTTTCGAAATTTTTTGGGATGCATTTTTTTAGCCTTTTTTTGATAGTTAGCTTATGGTTTAATGTTAGTTTTGATAATAATAATGTATAAGTGGATTTTGGTAGGGTTTATATTTTCAAATCGAAAATTAATTTCCAGCTTCAAAATTCCAGCTTCAGCCGCGACAATTAATAAATATAAAGTCTCATAATAAATAAATATGCTTTTTAAACAATAAAACATTTATTTTTCCAGGAGGATCAATAAAAAAAAATAAATCTACTAAAAAAAATAAGAACAAAATCATATTCATTGCTTATTACGTATTGAATATTTTTTATTTTGATAATACATGAGTAAAAACTTCATTATTTTTTTAAAATTATCACGCCCATATTCTACGCCATTTTCTTAACTTTCTTGCTTTCATTTATGGTTTTTGTGGTTTCTGACTAATAATGCATGAACGTGCATTTAACCTTGCTAAACAGAATAGTCCTCGGTACTTCAAATAAAAATGCGATTTTTTATATTAAGATTATTAATTAAAACATCCAAATAAATTACCGAAATTGTCACATAAATCGATATTAGTATATTATTTGAAACACTGTACGTAACTGATCTTGGTTGTTATGTAGGTTTGTGGATGAATAAACTATGAATTAATTGTCGGTTGTCGATGAAGTGAACGGATCCCATTAAAAGTCTGGAAGTGTTAGTTTTTACCTTACGTATCTATTTAGAAGTCTTTAATTAGTATTAATTAAAAGTGTTACAATGCGTGCGTACGTACGTAATGTGGCACAAATAATTGCATTACGTAATGCAATACAATGTATTCAATCGCCTCAATAAATTTATAAGTCCGTATGCAGTATAATCTGTCAATGTTAAAATGTCAATTGAAAAACGACCAGAAAAAATCGACAATCCATTAGACGTTGCTAAAATATCAAACGATGTAAACCAATTGTATTTAGAAGATAAATCCCAGAATTTTCTTAATGAAATTATTAAAGAAATGTATAATTTGTATAATGAAGAAATTTCGAAAGGCAGAACTTACAAATCAGTTCTTGACGCATTAGAAGAATTTCTAGTAAGAAAAAAGCAAAATCCGGATGATATTATCAAATATTGCTTAGATAATCAATTTGATCCTATGGTTCAAATCATTCTCGCATATTGTTATCGTTATGGTAAATGGGTTGAACAGGATAAACATAAGGCATTCATTTATTATCAAAAATCTGCAGAGATGGGTAGCGCTTGTGGGATATTTAATGTTGGAATTTGTTATCGACATGGAACTGGAGTTGAAAAGGATGAACATAAGGCATTTATTTATTTGAAAAAATCTGCAGAGATGGGAGACGCTGGTGGAATAAATAATGTTGGATTTTGTTATCGAAATGGAATCGGAGTTGAAAAGGATGAAAATAAGTCATTTCTTTATTTTCAAAAATCTGCAGAAATGGGTAGCGCTTGTGGGATATTTAATGTTGGAGTTTTTTATCGAAATGGAATCGGAGTTGAAAAGGATGAACAAAAGGCTTTTGAATGCTATTTAAAAAGTGCCGAATGTGGAAATTGTTGTGGAATGTATAAAGTTGGCTGGTGTTATCAAAAAGGGATTGGCGTAAAAAAGAATGAAGATTTAGCTTTTGAATGGTATTTAAAATCAGCAGTTACTGAGCATAAATGTTATTATGGTAATAACTATTTTAGTTGGCTAGAATACGATAATTTTAGAAACATTGAAAAAGTATGTAGTAGTGGATGTTCTGTAGTGTATAAAACATCATATAAAAGACAAGATGAAATGTATGAAGAACTTGCAATCAAGATAATAAAAGATTCGCATAAAAATAGAAAACTTTTTTTAAGCAAGGTTTTTTTTTTTTTTTTTTTACACGGTAAATTTAGATGATTTATGGTTTATGAATTAATTGCATATAATTTGTCTATTTTTAGTTAAAGACGTATCATGAATTTGGGAAACATGAGTTTGGGAAATATTTTGGCATATCAATGGATAAAAATGCCGGTGATTTTATTTTAGCGCTAAATTACGCAAAATATGGATCATTACGAGATTGTCTTAAAGATATATTTAAATTGGAGTGGAAAATTAAACTAAAGATATTACGTGATATTATTGATGATCTATCACGTATTCATTTTAAAGAACTTATACATAGAAATTTACATTCTGGTAATATTTTACTAAAAGAACGATATGAAGCTTATATTGATTTAGGTTCATCAATATCAGTTGACGAAAAGCAGGATGGTAATATTTATGGTGTTTTACCATATTTAGCACCTGAGGTCTTGAAAGGAGAACAGTTCACTCAATCAGCTGATATTTACAGTTTTGGAATTATCATGATAGAAATATTAACTGGACAAAGACCTTTCGATGGTTACCATTTTGACGCTGAATTAGCTGCGATGATTTGTCATGGATTACGACCTGAATTTTTTATAAAGACACCAAAATGTTATGTTAAATTGGCCAAACAATGTATTAATTCAGACATGAAAAAAAGACCTACAGCTGTTGAGATTATCAATAAACTTGAAAAATGGAAAAATATTATAGCCGCAAATGTTGCCAATGATAGTAATATTAAATCAGATAAGAAAAAAAGATTTAAGGCTGTTGGGATTTTTAATAAGCTTAAAAAATGGAAAAAACTTATAGTTATCAATGATAATAATATTAAATTAGACAAACATTGTAGTGATTCAGATGATTCAGATGAAGTGATCCAACAGCAATTTTTAGAGTCTGATAAATCAATCAAAGAATTGCCAATTGCCTCGCAAAAACATGATAATATGATGTATACTTCTAAACTTATCGATACGAGAGAAATCGTTTCAGAGTTTGAACATTTTAGGATTAATCAATAGCTTAAACCGAGAAAAGTGATTTGTATTGATAATATTTTGATTGCAATTTAACTTTTCAAAATTTTTTATAGATAAAAAGATAAAAGAATTTATTTGCTGAACCTTGCGAAATTAAGTAGTAGGCGTATTGCTAATAAATTATATAGTAAATGTATAGTAAATGTATAGTACAGTCAAACTTCTCTATAGTCACACCTTCGGAATACAACAAAGGTGATTATAGAGAAATGTGTCAATTATAAAGGTTAAATTTATTATATTTAATAATAGTTGGTTTTTAAAAATATGTGTTTATAAAGAATGCGTATTTATATAGGAAGTGACTATAGAGAGGTTTGACTGTAATAATAAAATAACTTTAAAACTAAAATAATAATAATAATAAATGTAAAGAAAATTGCTACTACCAAGTAACTATATGATTAATTGAAATAGTATTAAAGTTACTGATTTGTAAGTTTCAGTCAAGTTATATATTGAGTGTGTATAACTCACATTATTTATTTATAAAAAATTTTTCGAATTTGTTAATAATTGTCACAGATTAAAACAAAATCTGATCAAAATGAAATTTTTCTGTTTATTTAAAGAAAATTTAAAATTTTTTGGGGGACATTTTTTGGGGTTCTTTTTAGCATTAGGGTAGGAGTTAGGATTAGGTTTATTAATAAATAAGTATATGTAGGTTTTATAGGCTCTAAGAGTGGGCATGAGAAGTCTCCAGTTTCATTTTGATCAGATTTCATTTTAATATGCGAAAATAATTATAGATACCTTTTATTAATTTGAAGAATAAAAAATATTATAATTAAGAATTATTTATTTATATTTATTATAACATGAGCCTATGGTAGCTTCACATTTATATGTTTTTATAATATGTTTTTTATCTTTCTTCATTTTGTATACATAATTTACATATTAGGCTAACATTTAGAATTTTAGTTAGGATGATTAATTTAATTAATTTTTTAGACAATATACACTAGCGATCATAAGTAGTGCAACAAAAAAAATTTAGTTAGATCATGTTATCTCCCGCAATTCTGGGCCTATCAGTCAGTTTTTTTTATTTTATTCACAAATAACAACATTTTCACCAATAAAAAAATTTAAAAAATCTAATAAATAAAATTTTTCACAGCTACAAGCTTTATTTCAAATGCTGTGTTGCATTACTTTTGCATATTTTTACAGCAAAATAGCTGTAAAAAAAAATTTTTTTATATATAAATAAAAAATTTTTTCTATCTAAAATGTTTTTTACCTTCACCATCTGGTATAACCACCCTGAGCCCTAATTATAGCACGAATTCATTCTGGCATTGAACAAATTAATCTTCTACAGGTTTCAATATTAATCACCTGCCAGACCTCCTGGATCTTTTGCCAAAAATCCATCTCACTTGAAATTTGTCCAGAAAAATCTCTTAGCTGATAAACAATTTTGTTTCACTGGTTTTTGATCAGGTTAAAATTAGGAAATTGGGGGGCTAATTGAAGAACTTAACTTTATTCTTTTTAAGCTAACATTCTGTCAAAGTTACCATATAATAAAATGCTCCATCTTGTTGAAAAGTAATCTTCCTAATATCAAATTCTTGTTCTCTGATTGTCTACATCAAATAATCATAAAGTAACTACTGATACAAGTCACTGTTCATTATGCTGTCAACTTTACAATAGCTACCAACACCACAGCAGAAAAGCATCCCAAATATAATTGAACTGTTGCTATATTTTACAGTGGGCTTAAAGTGTAACTGGTTTAACAGTTCTTCATAATGTTTTTAATAATATTGTTTGCCATCCAACCCAAAAATTTTAAACTGTAACTCATCTGACCAAATTACCTTGAACCAATCCTCAATGGTCTAATTTTCATATTTCTTTGCCAAAGTGAGCTTCACTTTTCGATGACTATTACTCAAGTAGGGTTTTTTTTTATCTCCACACTATTCTGTGGTTTTGAAGTATATGGGTATAGTAGACACTAAGATTTTTATATTTTTAATTTTCATGAAGTAAGTCTTCACGTCAACAGCAGTGAAACACAGATGAAAGGTAATAAGATTCACTATTCTTCTTTGGGTTGGTTCACCCAACAAAGTTGGGTGACCACCCTTGCCAAATCTTCAAGTAAGAGCAATATTATGGACCCGACCTACTGCTTTTGTCATGTATCTTTCTGGAGCAAAAGTAATACTTTGGCTCATTTAGCAGGAATTGATCTGCTTTTCTTTATTTTTTTGATTATCAATTAATTCTAGCATTGTACAAGATGCAAAATTGATAATAAGATTGATATTTTTATATATATTTATTTTACACAGATTGCATAATTTATTTTTTAAACATAAGCAAAAGAAATGCAATACATATTTTGTGATACACGCATAATTATTTTTGCACCAGTATTAATAATGGCTACTAAAATTCTAAGAATAGAAAAGACACTATTTGTGAATAAATA